GGGGAAGGGGGGTTGAGGAGGTGCGGGAGGGGGGAGGGGGAGGAGGAGGGGTTGAGCCACCTGCCACCTGCCACCGACATCGGCTGGCTTCGCCGCCGGGAAGTTGAAAAAACGCCGTCGGGGGCGTTTAGTCGTCGGGCCAAGTTACAGGCACACACACAGACATACGTACATACACAGTAACTCAAATTACATCCTCAGCACTTCATCCCGCGCCCCCCTTGCTCAGCTCATCAAAATACACAAGCGGACGTACAGGTAAACATACATACGTGTATACCTGTTGTACGACAAAATGCATCTCTCAGGGGTAGCAGCGCTGCCACTTCCGTGAGCAACCACACCATGAAGTCCTGTTTTGGCAACATCCCAGTAGAAGGAAGTACGTGAACGGTCAGGAAAAGCAGAGCAGGAAGGGCCCACCAAGGACCTGAACATTACCTAATCAGGCGACAGCTCGTCCGCACACCTTTTCACAGGCCCTCTTGTGTCGTGCTTTTCCATTCGTTACCCCCCTCCCTCCCCCCCGAACCCCTTTCCGACCTGCAATCCGAGGAAACCGCTACCGTCCAGGTCCGCACGCTGCATGTGCTCCCGAACGAATGCGTCAACGAGCGTCGTTGGCACACCCTCCTATACGGATATATGTTTTGGTTGGGGGAAGAGACGTGGTGGTAACTGTTGGGGAAGCGGGGATGGAAAAATTCGATGACGATGATAGATGATTTAGGGTATTGCGGAGACAGGTGGGGCTGCGGAGACGTGGGAAGCTAGAGAGCGACCCTAAGTGGAATGTAATGTTCGAAGTGGGGCAGCAGGGCTTGGGGAACAGGGTTAATGCTAACAGAGGCAGCCGAGATGAGTTTCCTTTTCCTTTTTGTTAGTCCAGAATGCGCAAAGCGCTGGAACGCTCGATAATCTCACCAGCAAATCCATGTCCAGCATGAGCTCCTTCATGCGGGTGTACGATATGCAGGCAAGACCGTACGATGCGTCGGCTGGAGCGCGTGAAGCATACTGGAGCGCGTAAAAGTATAAATCATCAAAAGCAAGAGGAACGAGGAACGGATAATTTTATCACGAGAGGAACAACTCCAGCCAGCTTCCGGCTATCACTGGACAACGGGAACGCATTTTGTTGCGCAGGGAGCCGTGCGCCCACGTGCTAGCTACTAATCACCTTGAAGAAAAGGCTGTGTAGCAGATAAGCTCCCCGGTGGTCATTCTCGCATGCTGTGGCCATGCGAGCTGCCATGGCTTCGACGTTCGGGCACACCTCCAAAGATGGGAAGTCTTTATGCTCAGTTTACCATGTTATAGCTTTAAATTAATGTCGAGAATCTTAGGTTGCGCTCTACGCTGTGGCAATTATAATCCAAATTGGTGTGCCGGTGTTTTTCCTGCGCCTAATTGTGCACATGTGGGATATACCGCAACATATAAATTAAAAACTCATTATCATGCAACTAGGAGTAGTATGTAAAACAACGTTTCCTATATCTTTTAACTCCGTACATGTAACGATTGGAGAGTAACCGACGCGACTAGCACGCTATGCATAGCAAATGCCAGCGCGTAACGTTAGCCGCGCAAAGTTAGCAAACCATCACGATCTCCCTGTCAAACACGTTGCTCGGCACCTGTGTGCTGTCACTGCTACGCCAACTATGTAAACCGTCACCCTCCGCCCATCTACTGCACCGCGTATCCTCGGCTATGGCCCTACCTAGCCAAATGCACAGGAACCCTACGATTGTACCTCCCAATGCTCACAGGTCCCGATGTTTCCAACCACGCGCGTTAAACAGGCGCTCGTTGTTTCAACCATGAACCTTACAACCTCGCCACGTACCTCTTCTATGCCGTTCCCACGCCATGTGGCTCAACCCACCATATGCAACCCCGCTTCTCGTGTTCCATGGCTAGAGGCGCAATGCGCGGCACAGCCGCACATCACCCATGGGCAGGCCGTATACACTGAGCCCACCTGAACAACAATCGCTTCGTTGGCAACCAGGTACCTCTCTGAGTTAACAGCGCTCACCCTGTGCCCGTCTTTCCCAAGCAATAATTCGGACCATCCAGGGCTCAGAACAAATCCAGAACAACAATAAACGAACAGCTGAAAAGGCTATTTTTTCAAACAGCAAAATCTCAATACACATGACTAGGGGATACAAAGCCGACCGGCTGCGGCGCAAAATTTTCTGGCTGAAACAGGCAACCGAAGCATCGGTGTAGAGATGGCAGCTGACTGTTTGTTCATTTTGTTCATTTTCAAATGCAACACGCGACACACATGTGCAACACGTGAAAATTAAGTTCCCGACAAATTACCCGGATTCAATATAATGACCCGAAAACAGTATTAACGGATATAGGGCGCTCACATGCAAAGGGGAGAAAAAGGGGAACTGCTTCCTTCCCGCCTCCCCGTTTTTCTAATCGCATTTTTTCAAAGCGCATCGAGTACAATAAAACAAACCCGACGCCCGAGAGCGTGCAGCATCACCATTTGCCCATGTTTACATACATACATACATACTTACATTAAAACACACAAAGGATGGTGCTGTCCTCAACGCATGCCAGTCACCATCCTCTCTTGCCTTGGCTTCCACCCGGGCGCAGTCCGCTCCCTCTAGAGGCTGTGCATGTGGTTAGCGAGGCGGAAAGAGCCGGGAAAACTCCGAAAGCTGACAAACACAGCCCCCCTACCCCAACTCAAGGCTCCACTCCAGAAAAGGTGGAAAACTGAACATTTATCAGGTACATGGAACGCCAACCAGTCGCTTTCCGTCAGGTGCAAGAAGCATAAACCAACACCCAAGCCTAGTGTCGTCACGCAGCGACTTTTGTGTCGCCGGTTGTGACTTAACGATTTAGTGCAAAGGCACACAGGCATGCATTGCGGGCTCTCCTTAGCGGGTAGCCCTTTCAGACCACCACCACCACCACCATCACCATCACCACCACCACCCCATCACGATCGCCACGACCAGCCATGTCCATCGCGTCCATCGCCTTGAGAAATCGAAGACCGACACCGACACCCCAGCCCCAGCCCCCAACCGAAGGAACGTCTTCTCCCCACGTAATAGCAAATCAGCAAAGCAGCACGGGTAGCCCGGCAGGACACATCAATGCAGACGCGCCACTGGATGCATTTTGCTGCCGCCTCACGGCGCGCCCCTCTCGCCTCCCTGAAAGGTTGGGCCGTCTCCCCCCCCCCAAAATAAAGCCCCTGATAGCCCCCGTCTCACAAAAGGAGAACCTCTTCTCCCCGCGAAGACCTCCTCCTCAAACTGATTGTAAGCTTTGCTGCTGGCTCGCATATGTCTTCTTCTCAAGGTACATGGTATCACGACGTCAACCTTACAGCAACTGAACGAATACACGCACGCACACACACGCGCACGCACGCACACGACCACTCACCTCTTCTAGTAGGTGTAATCTGCGTGGCCACTTCCCTCCTCATACCTCCTCGCAAGCTCTGAAAAAAAACAAAACGTGCGGCTCAAAGCGCCGTTAGTCTTCTAAACCCGCAGTTCGCATTGGCGTTGAAATTGACGTTGAAATTGCTGAACTGTTCGAACTATTGTGTCGTCTGGCCACCCAACAATAGCGATGATGCCGCCTGATGATGATAGGCTATCATTGATAGCACATCCTCGCGTGGCCCTTGCGCACACCTCACATCATCATCATCATCATCATCATCATTACCATCATCATAGTAGCGCCAAGCAAAAATGCTGTGGCTTCCCCGAACCCCCCCCCCCGAGGATAGGTGAGCTTCTAAGCTTGGATGCAAGCACTACATCGGTTCGAAACGAAACGAAACAAAACATCATTTTCATTAGCGCCGCGACCGCCACCTGGCTGGCCCCTTGCCCCTGACCCAATTGATACGTGCCGGCCCTCCAACCGTGGCCAAACCGCGAGCACAAAGCTCCCGTACTCCTCAACTACGTGCTCCTGACGCCGCGGTCGTCTCTACCCTACAAGGTCGCGGTAAAGCAAAGCGCAGGACAAGCCAGGCCCACCTTAGCCGCCACAACAGCGGCTTATGACCCATTGTCGCTAATTCAACGCACGCCAGCTCGCCCCCCGCTCCTGTAGTCCTCAGGTTTAGTTGTCGTCCTCAGGTCCTCGCAATGGCACGTGGCGTGCATATGGCTTAACACCCCAAGTAATTGCAGGGGTAAGGGTAGGCAGCCGCTCCCAGCCTTGGAACTGCGTGCGCGTGTGTGTCCGTGTGTGTGTCCGTGTGTGTGTCCGTGTGTGTGTGTGCGTGTGTATGTGCGTGCCCTTTCCAGCCCTCTGTGCGTGCGTGTGTGGGGAACGCATGTCTTGGCGCTGTCTAGTCGCACACCAGTCTCTCATGCACATTGTTCTTATCTCTGGGCCAACTCAAAAGTGGCATTTACCTCCTGTCTGTCTTAACCGCGTACATATGCGTACGTATTATTGTTCGCCACGTGCTCGAGCTACAACAACAACACACATACACATACACACACAGTTCAACAAGACGCCTCACACCCACAATTGCTTCAAGCTGAATTATATATCAAGTAAGAATGATTTCCTTCTTTAGTGTGCAGTTCACCGACCCGCCCCCGTCCAAGGCTCCATCCAATAAGCAGCCAATTGCTGCTCAGGAGGAGAAACGCCTTTTATTAAACCACCGTCCTGATGCCGGTCTGCTTGTTGATGCTAATGCGATGATGAGCTGTATCAGAAGGGGGAGACAGCACGCGTTGTTGTTGCGCCTCAAAAGAGTCTTCGAGCCTCTCAATTTCTCGCACGCGCATATCTCAGCGCTACTTGCGGCTTTTGGGGGGCTCCTCCAACCAGGCCAGGCCCCTATGGTTTTGTATCTTCCCATCGGTGCTCCTGCAGCCTGCTGCGGCGCCGACAGCGCGCGCCGCGCACGCACGCACGCACGCCGACCCCGTGGAAGTTCCTCTCTTCTTCCACGAAGCAGCTGCCCCCTAGAGGTATAGCCCAATAACCCGCTGCAGCTGTCCGCCGTCCACCGGCGCGTCCACATCACCCGCCCATTCAAAGGTGCGCATCTCGCCCTTGCCCTTGACGGATGTCATGCCCAGATCACGCCAGGCCTCGCTGGGAAGGCGGGCCTGCGTCGCGGCACTCACGTGAATAGCGCCCGGGCGGCAGGTGGTCTCCATGCGGCTGGCCACGTTCTGAAGAGCAGCAGCGGCGGCGGCAGGGGGGAAATCAGTTGATACAGTAGAGGGGGTTAGTCAGCCCTATAGTGCTATTGCCCGACGAACAAAATAAATTAGTTAATATTATTGAAGATAAAGAATCTTTTAGCCATCTTAAAGCCCCAACTGCCGCTTGCCCTGGGGGCGGCTGGGACATGGGACATGGAACCGGGACACCAACTCGATGGCCACAAGGTTCCCGGCAGCCGCTTCCTGTCGTAGAATGTAACCTAATTCCATAGATAGTCAGACAGTCAGACAGTCAGACAGTCAGAAATTCAGACAGTGCGGCCCAACATCTCTTTCTCTGGTGCATCTCTTTCTCTGGTGCATCTTTCATCCTTCCCACTCCAGTCCATATTCCCGCTCTTTCCTTTTCCGCCAATGCACTCACTCCTTTTCCTCTCTTCCCCCCCCCCCCCACACACACATCCAAAAAACGTCCCCCCGCTCTGCCTCTCACCACCGTGTCACCAAAAACGCAAAAGCGCGGCATCCGGTCGCCCACCACGCCGCTCGTGACCGGGCCACTGTGCAGGCCGATCCGCATCTGGACAGGCTCGCCGGTATGCGGCATCCGAACATCACGTGAGGCGCGCAGCATAGCCTGGAGAGGCGATAAAACAGTGGTAAGGTAGGTAAAAGGGGTTTAAGGATTGGACGAGGGAAAGAACCTTGGCGAGAGGAAAGGAGGTCAGGAGGTCAAGAGGTATGCAGCACGTGCGGATATCTTAAATGAACGCCCCGTGGACATAGGAAGTATTCCCCGCGGCAGCCGAAAGGGGAAACCGTGTACATGGCTGTGCAGCATGCTCCTGCTGCTGCCGCTGCTGAAGCCGGTGTTAGGGCCTGGCCAGTGTGGTTCTAGCTTCCCAACCAATTTGGGTTGGGAAGCCAAAGAGTTCTGAAGACAGGTAGACAGACAGATAGGCAGGCTGAAAGACACGTTGACACCTACCTTTGCAAACTCCATCACCCGTACAGCGTGGAGGGGGTCCTCCGTACCGCTGATAACGGATTTGTAACCGTCATCATCGTAGGCCACCAGTCCCCCGGCGACCATGTAACAATCTGGTGGTGGAGGGGTCAAGCAGTGGTCAAGCAGCGATCGAGCCGCGAGAGGAACACATGAGGGAGGTGGGGACGGGGGAACACACGGCAAGATGCGTGAAGAGATCGGAGTAGAAGGGCGAGGAGGCGGAAAGATGTATCGCTGAACGAATATATTGCGGGACATAGTGATGCGAACCAACCAACTGCAACCCAGGACACGAACTTGGTGTCACGAAGAAACACACACACACACATACACACACACAATCTCTCTCTTACGCCTCGCGCCTCAGTTCATTTACACACACAGAGAGACACACACACAGAGACACACACACAGAGACACACGCACAGAGACACACGCATACACACACACAGCCCGCTGAGCCGCACGTAGCGCAGGTAGCTGCAGGTGGCCAACCTCACCTCCAATCGTCTCCACCTTGTACACCTTGTATATGTCAATCATGTCGTCAAACCGGGAGTACAGCTGGTTCAGGAAGGCCATCACAGCAAGTGGCGTGGCGGCATGGCACATGGAAGTGAAGCCCACGCAATCTGCACGTACAGCGGCATTTCGGGATATGGGCCAATAATGGAGACAGGGGAGCTGCAGTCGGGTTGGCTGCAGCCCCCTTCCCTCCGCAGGTACAAGGCAGGACACACTTGGACGTACGGGTCAATGACACACACATACACATACAGACATACAGACATACAGACACAGGCTCAGTTTGTTTAGGCATTAGGCAAGAAGTCCGTTGGTGGCGCCCCGGTCCAAAGCCAATGCGAGAACGGAGGAAGCCGAGTGATGGCGGGGGGGGGGAGCGATGCATGGTTAGGTTTGGTTTGGTTGGAGTATACAGTACTCGGGCGAGGAGCAAAACCCTGGGGGGATGGGCTGGCATCGGGAGGGAGCGCATCACGCCAGTTGGGAGAGGGCGTCGACATCTTCTCCGTTTCGCAAAGAAGAAGGCGCTCGCGGCATACCACTGCAAACCACACCCTCCCCCACATGCATGCAGGCAGGCAGGTAGGCAGGCAGGCAGGCAGGCAGGCAGGCAGGCAGGCAGGCAGGCAGGCAGGCAGGCGGGTAGGCAGGCAGCCACTGAGGGAACACCATTATACACGCACAGGGCGAGGCGCTCCGTCCAAGGAGATGCGCCCCACACACCGACACTCTACTACCAAGTCCACAGTCCTCAGACCGGGCAGTCCAGCGGCCCAGAGTCCTGGCCTCGGAGCCCTCGGACCCCTACCTGCAAACAAAATGGTGACCCCCGGGTGCCAGGTCGCCAGCGAAGCCATGCGCTCCACACTGCCAGGCCCCAGCGACAGCAAACTGGTCCCCGCCCCTGCCGCCGCCGAGGCGCCGGGAAAGGCCCTGGCAGCCTCCTGGAGCGTCATGTACTCGATCACATGCCTGCCACCGGTCCGGAGAAGCACGTGTATGCGTGTGCGCGTGCGTGTATATGTGTGCGTGTATATGTGCGTGCGCGTGCGTGTATATGTGTGTGTGTGCATGTGCCTGTATATGTGATGTGAGACACTACTATATGAGGTACTACCATACAGCTACTGTATGCTGGTAATAGTGGTGATGGTGGCTGAACACCGCATCCTGGAGGAGAAATCGGACAAGTCCGCAGTCGGGTTGAACGGCGGGTAGGGTGCCGCAATACCCGTGATGAGAACTCCCGGGTTGGGAAGTGTGCCGAGGACAAGACCAGATGCACGTCCAGACACTACCAGACACGAGCTGGGGGCCCGGCATTGCACTGCACTGCACTGGGCCTCATCCGCGTACTCCGAGACGACCACCTTTTTCCGTCTCCGCACTTGCTCTTCCTCTCCTTCCTCTCCTTCCTTGGCGGGGTCTGGGGCTATGGTGCCTCCCAGGCTGTTCCAACACGTTTCATTATATCCCGCGCATGCATGCAAGGCCCCCCCGCCCCCCGTCCCACCCCGCGTGCATAATATGTGCCGCATGCATGCGCGGACGCGGGTACAGCGCCCTCCTCTCTCCCGCGGCAAACGCAAAAGACCGGCTGGTCAAGGACTGCTGGTCCGCTGCTGGCCACCACATGCACACAGCCACGCAAGAAGAAGGCCCCCGCACTTTCGCGCCGCACCCACCTTGGAAAGATGCCCTCCAGGACCTGCGGCCGCGCAAGCGCAACAAGAAGACGACGGATTATATCCAGGCAGGACGGCTTCAGTCGTCGTGGCGCCCAACGGGGGGGGGTTGTGGATGCCGTCCGTTCCAGTGGACACAGTCCCTCACCGGCAAGCACCATAGACAGGCCTCGCCCCGCGTCCGCAACGCACCTTGCCCGGGTCCGGGCCCCCCCCCCTCACAACCCCCACAACCCCCCACCGACCCTAAACGGTAATCCCACGGCCACACCTCAGCCGCACCCAAGGCATACAGGATACACATGTTATACCAGTATGTATGGAAGTGGCCACGGCGGCGCAAGTCGTAGGGCGGTGGCAAGCGTAGCTAGCCTAGCCAGCCGCGGGTTGCACGCACACCGCGCGTGTATTTGCGCTCACTTGGCAGCACCGCCGTCAAAGCGGCGGCGCCGAGCAGTAAGCGTCGCACCGCACATAGCAGCAACGCACAAGAACTCAGCAACTCAGCAGGAGGACAGTACAACAACGCATTCCAGTCCCTGATCGGGCGCTCTGGAAAAGGCTTCCATGCTGTTGGAAGGTTGATATGGGCGGCAAGTCCCGGATTGCATCCTACCTTGTGCTCTTGTTCCAGCAGCTTCGCCAGTCCCGCTTGCGCCTCCACCTGCTCTGTGACGTCGATCTGAGTCAGCGTCAGCGTGAGGACACGGCTACCGATTGGGGGACCCCCGCCAGCCCGACTGCCGGTGCCTCCGCTCAACAGCGCGCTGGTCGGAACGCCGCTCGTCACAGAGCCGCCGTCACGTCCTAGCGGGCTGAGGTGCGCACCCGCCACCGCCGCCGCCGCCGCCGCTCCCGCTGGCTGCGCCGGCGACAGCGGCGTGGCGCAGTGCACGATTACCTTGTGCCAGACGCGCCGCTGTGCGGTTCCCACGGCGGCCGCGGCAGCGGCCGCCGCCGCGTTCGAAGGATGAGCGTTGGCGGTGGAGGCTACCGCAGAACTGATGCGACCTGGGGCCCTGCTGCCACGCATCGCTCCTGCCGCGACGGCGGCAGCTGCCGCAATCATACCGCCCCCGCCAGGTGTTGTGCCGTCGCTGGTGGTGGGTATATCGCCAGCGATGCCCACCTCTGAGCACGGCAGCATCAAGCTGTGCCGCTGGCGTCCAGAGCCAGGCGGCTCGCCAGGGTTAACGGAGAAGGCGGTGAGGGCGCCACCAGCGCTGCCGATCGGCACCTGGCTGGAAAAGCTGCTCAGGAGCTGCGTCAGCCTGCGGGCGGTGCTCTGGGAACGCAGCGGCACGCTACGCCGGGAGCGCTGGCGCATGTTGCGCAGGTTCGAGGCCGCGGGGGCCGCACCCAGACTGGGCTCGCGCTGGGCTGCGGACTCATGGCTGCTGGCAGGGAAGGTTCCTGTGGCCGATTCCCCGTGGAGGCCGTCCACTGTGGCGCGCCGGCGGCCGTCCATAGACTGAACCACGTCGACCGGCGCAGTTGATAAAGCCCCGCCAAAGCTCGTGTCTCCGGCTGCATTGGTTTCGAAGGACGCCGTCACGCCTGTTGCTGTTGCTGTTGACAACCCCGTCGTCACTGTCGTTCTGGTGGTCGCAACAGCCGCTGCCGCCGCCGCGGCAGCAGCACCAGCAGCAGCACCAGCGGCGCTGCCGCCGTCAGCAGGCACCATGCCCGTGGGCGTCGCCTGCTGCGACTGCGGTAAGACCTTCGCCTGAAACATCGTGCCTGCTGTCGCCGGAGTCGCCAGTGTTGGAGGCGGCCGAGACGCCGTTGCTGCAGTTGCGACGATGCCGGAGGTGGTCGACAGGATGTCAGCAGAGGCAAGATGCATGGACGGAGGCACCTCCATAGGGGAGCTGTTCAACAGCTTAGATCCGTGCAGCAGGCGGGGCAGGGCACGTGCAGCGTCGGATACGATCGGGCGAAATCCGCAGACTGTGGCGCTGTCGCCCACGCCGCCGCCACCGCATAGCATGGCATCGTCCTCGGGGCCGCTCATCGCCCGCAGCAGCGACGGGCGCCCTGACGATGGCGAAGCCGGCATGGAGCCAAAGCCGGCGGGCAGGTACGACCCAGAGCCAGCGGCACCGCTCCCGCCGGAGCTCCGGGGCGGCTCGAGGGTCGCCGCCAGCGACGGCACCACCAGCTGCTGTGGCCGCTGGTTTGGCGGAAGCTTCTGCTTCTCCTGCCCAGTTCCAAGGGGACATGTGTCACGCGGCGCCGGGACTGATCGCAGAGTGCGCATCAACCACGGCGGAGCCGTCGTCGCTGCCGCTGCCGCTGCCGCTGCCGCTGCCGCCGCCGCCGCAGCAGATGGCCGTATTGCCGATGATTGGTGTGGACTGCATGCCAGGCTAGAGGTATTTGGCGAGGCCGGCTGTATGGTGGTGGTAGATGTGGTGGCGGGGCCAGTGGCTGTAGTCATGCCGGACAGAGGTGCCGTCGTACAGTCACCTGTGTGTACGGAGACCGACATGGACAAACCCCGCACACCAGCGGCTCCGCTCTCCACCGCGGCCGGGCCCTCATCGTTGGCGGCGCTCAGAAGCAGCAAATGCGATTCATGGTCTTGCGTACCCAATCCCACCGACGGCACTCCAGCCGCCGCAGGAGTCTCACCCCCATGTGGTGCGGGAAGACTACCACCACCAGCACCACCAGCACCACCACCACTACCGCTTCTGGATGGGAAAGTCAACGGCGGCGACAGTGCCCGCTGCAGTAGGGGTGGTAGAAGATTACGCACCTCTCCGCCGGGCCCACTGCGTGAGTTGGCCGACTGAGTTGGCTGGGGCGACGGCGCCACCGATGCCAGTGGTGACCCGGCGCTTCCCAAACTCCTCGACTCGGCACAGACGCTGAAGCGCTTATCTGGCGGCGTCTTGGCTGGTTGTTGTGCTACATCCGCTGCCAGGGTGCTGCTGGAGGCTTCCACCCCTCGGCCCTTGAGCGTGTCGCGACCCAGGAGTGAAGCACTGGCAACCCCACCCGGGGGGCCCCCCAGACACCCCAGGTCGGTCGGCGTTGAGAAAGTCCGGAAGAAACCGCTCTTCGTCGCCTGAGCGAGCGCATGCGGCATAAGCTCCACAGTCCTAGCAGCCTCCCTGCCCAGCCTGGAGCCTGCCACAGAGAGCACTGGCTCGTAGCTGTGTGCGACTAGCAACAGCTGTTGTTGCTGCTGCTGTTGCTGCTGCTGTTGCTGCTGCTGCTGTTGTTGCGATGCTTGTAGCTGAAAGTGCAGCGAACGTTGATGCACGGCGCTATCATCGCGGCCCACAGTGCTCATGTTCGTGTGGCGTATGAGTGACAGTGTCGCGAGGGTGAGGGAGTCCAGACCCGCAGGCCGCGTGAAGGCCGACGATTGGCTATTGCCGCCGACTGCCTGCC